GGAATGTATCTGTTTGTATATGTTTTGCAAATATTTTTGATGTCTGAGTAGTATTCCGTACTGTATATGTGTCTATATGTGCCACACCTTGGGGACATATATATGGCTTAGTCACATAATTATAGCTAGTGTTTATCTTGTCAGAACTTTGACATATTCAGTGATCCTCAGATTTTGCCCTGGTGGAATGTAGATTCATTGAATTGAATTGAAATTTCCATACTAAAATTAAATAATGTTAGACTTTCCCTAGGTTATGGAGTGAACATTCATGTATAGTTTTTTTTTTTTTTCTGTTCTAACACACTGTTTAATTTTTTTCCTTTACTTTTGGAATTAATGTAAAATGCTATCCAATTGAGTATAAAATTCTCCATTCTGTTCATTTAAATAGCAAATAATGTGTGTGTATATATATATATTTTTGTTGTTGTTGTTTTCAAGAGGTATTTTTGCCATTGGGCACATGAGCTTGCCAGGGGGGGCATGGCCACACTGCAGTCCCTTCTCCTTTAGTTTCTTCTTGGGATTTGGGGCATGCATACATGTCCTGAGTGGATTTAAGCCACCGGGTCCAGGACTGAAACCACGGTTGATTACGTGGGAATCCAGTGATATAACCATTAAGCCAACTGCTGGTCCCAGCAAATAATATTTTATAGTCATCTGGAAAGAACCCTTTTCCTTATTAGTGATATACTTTTTGTATTTGAAAGCCAATTACATTATTTAAAACTCTAGATAAAAGTTTTATTCTAGGACCAGCATGTGGCATGGTGGCTAAGGGAATGGACACTCCCACATGGCCAACCACAGTTCAAGTTCTGGAACTAGTGGCTCGCTTTCTCACTTTCCTTCTCTCTATGTGTCTGTCTTTCTCTGGTCAAATGAAAATAAATGAATGAATAAGTAAAATTAAATAAATAAGTCTTTAAAAATTTTTTTTTGTTCTGTTGGAATTTTTTCTTTTCCTTTCCTTTCCTTTCCTTTCCTTTCCTTTCCTTTCCTTTCCTTTCCTTTCCTTTCCTTTCCTTTTCTTTTCCTTTTGTTTTTTTTTTCCTTTTCTCTCTCTCTCTATTTTTTTTTCTGTAGTGCTCCCTAGAGAGAGACAGAATAGGAAAGTGAGAAATCATACCACCCCTCCCTCAGGAGATGGCCAAGCTGCAGTCCCTTCTCCAGAGTTTGGGTACGTGCACAAGCTTGGACGCGTGCACACACACGTGCCTTGCATGATTTTTAAGCCACCAAGTAACGGACTCAAATTGCACAGCTGGCCATGTGGGATCCAGTGCCTTAACCTCCACATCATCTGCTGGCTCGTAATGTTGGAATATTTTTACAAATGCAAATTCAGAAGATTAATGATTAAAACAATTAGTCAATTAGATTCTAAGAATAGTATCTGTAAACATTTACATGCTATTAGTATACGAGAAAAAAATACATATAACAGTAAAAATCAGCCTCTGGAAATGATTTAAAGTTTGATGAATCCTCTAAAGCCCAAGAATACACTAAGTTGGTTAATTCCAACTTTGTGTGATGTAAAATGTGCATGCGGAACAGCTGTTCTGAATTGATTTACAAAGGATAGCTACAATTCTGTGGTTTCTTTTTACCAACTTGTAGAATTCCTTGGTATGGGTTTTACCACCAAGTAGAATGTGTCTCATAGTGTACCTTCAGAACACTTGCACTTGTCACTGCAACCTTATGTTGTCTTCGATGAAGTTGTGTAAAAGGTCTTTCTTCATTGCATATGACACCTAGACAAGAAGGTAAGAATGGGAAGTAGAAGTAGAAATGGAAAGTCAGTTCCGAATAGCCACACAGGATTTGACTGATGGGGAATAGATGGAAATAGTACAGAGATGAGGCCCAGGAGGCTGATGGTAATTTTTCTGAATCCATCCCCTGTGAAACCATAGTTATCTCTGCATAAATAGGATGTGCCCAGGATCTACTACTACAAATTTCAGTGGGCGTCAGGGAAATTCCGTAGTGTTCATTAACCACTTGTGGTACTTGGAACTTTGGGTCTGCTTTCAAGATGCAGCATTGTGTGAGGCTAGGATGGCAGTGGTGATGATGAGTGAGAATGACCACAGTGTTTGTTCAGTGGTTTTGTGAGGACCCATGAGCTCCCAGCCCCTCTCTCCTCCTGATCTCTCCCTTCTAAGTTTTATGACCCAAATTGCTCATCACTTAGATTTTTTTTTTTTTAGGAGTAAACACGGTAGAATATAAACACCTTTAGATAAATAATGCCAATAATGATAGATACCATTTACTGTGTGTTTTGACTGGATAGCCTTTTTAGTGATAAGCACTTTATGTAGGTATTTCACATTACCCTTCCAACAACTCAGGACTATCCTGCATCCTATCTAGGACTTCCCATTTCATAGATGAGGAAACCGAGGTTGAAATCAGGGTGAGGGCCTCAAAGTTACATAGCCAGTAAGTTTAAGTGATCAGGCCTGCCCCACATGAAAGGATTATCATCTAACACCAAAGCCTAGGGTTTTTTTGTTGTTGTTTCATTATTTTTTATTTTTCATTTTGTTTTGTTTTGAGAGGTTTTGTTGTAGGGTGCGTGTGCTTGCCAGAAAGACAGAGAGAGACAGAGAAACAGAAAACGAGAAATCACGCCACAGAGGGGTTGGACATGCCGCAATCCCTTCTCCTCCATTATTCTCTCGTGATCTTGGACATGCATGCACACGTGCCTGGCGTGAGTTTAAGCCACTGGGTCCGGGACTTGAACCATAGGTAACTATGTGGGAGTCCAGCGACATAGCCACCTAGTTTTTAATCACAGCATCAGACACTTCAAACTGATGTTAACTTGATTGCTAGGCATGTACTATCTTATCTTCCCATTTAACATAACTAAGGGATGCTTCGAAGCTGCCAGTGTAGTGTGGCTCAGTGGAAAGACTAGCACAGTACAAGACCGAGTTTCGGGATCTGATTTCAGCTCAGAAAACACTTAGAAATATAAGCACTAATTGATACTTAATCTGACTTTTGAGTAATAATTGGCCCTTCCTGAGTATTGGTTCTCTTTTTTGTAAAATGGCAGCAATAATATCCATTCTGTTTGATTCTCACATTTGCTGAGGACCCAATGAGATAATAGTCATGCTTTGAAATCTAAGTATTCCACACATATGAGAGGTCGCTGTGTGGGTTATTTTCATTGGTGTTCTCCTGTGCTTTCCATCTTGGAAAGTTACTAAGTGAGCACATTGTCATTTTCTCTTACAGAAGTATAGTTCTGGAGAGGCAGTGAAGGTATATTTAGGGATCAGTTAGCAGAGGAGTGCCTTCTGTGGGAATTTAGGGCAAGGAAAGTTCACTCTGAAATAGCATTGCTCGGAGAAAGCCTTACAAAACACCTAGCATAATGAATTAATTAGATTTTAAAGGATATAGTATTCAGATAGATAAGAATAGTTCATTCTGTGGCACATTTCTTTTGCTTGTAAAAGGAAAACCAACCGAGAACACAGGATACCACTTTTTTTTTTTTTAATGCCACTTATGGATTGTCCTAGGAAGAGTTGCCTTACCATGGAGGAGGGAATTTCTTTGCTCTTAAGGTGGAGGATGAAGGCATTTACATCCTGTTTTACCTTCTCTTCGTCCTGTCTCGCCTTTCTCAGAATAGAGACCTGACGGGAGGGAATCCTCTCCTAAAATTTTCATTAGCAATATTATTAGTCTTAGATTGGTTAGCAGTCTATTTTTTTTTCCTTTATCAAACAACAAAGAACACTAACTTAATTCAGGATTTTAAAAAAGATTACGACTTCTCATGAATAAAAACCACATTGGTGGTTATAAGTACTCAGCTGAAAGGAAAAGAGTTATCAGTCTTGCTTTGGGAAACAAGGTGACCAACCAACTGGTTTCAGAACGACTACTTTTCCCATTCTAGCGATTAGTTAATAAAATTATTCCTGACAGTGTAGGGGCAAAGAGCTCAGGCAGTTCCATATTTAGAGACAGAGAACCCATTGTCCAAAGATCTCAGAAGAGCCTTTGCAAACACACAGAAGGGATTTAGAACAATTTGCATAAATCTCCCTGTGGATAGCGACATGGCTCCAGTATTGGGGTGGTTCCAGGACCCCCTCCTTGGCTGTATCATGGGGTGACGCTGTGCTTGGTGAGAATTCAGTCTCATGATGGTGTTTGCCAGCAGGATTGGGTGATGAGGCCCTGAATAAGCCCACTGTTGGGTCCACATAAGAGCTCTTTTGTGTTGGCCTGGGGCAGCCATGTTCAAGTTTGTCTTGCCTTTTCCCTGGTGATGTTTTTAGACTTTGTGGCCTGGAGAATTAAGCACAGCACCTATTTTGAACTAATCTGTCAAATTTTGCTCTTGGAATTTAACCACAGCACTTTGTATTTCTAGAATGTGGAGAATAATAGTCATACCTTTGGAGACCTCTGATTTATTAAATTAAAGGTTGGGGAGAAAAGTTCTTTAGCATGCCCAGGTAACTAGGTATACATGCCTGTTTGTGGTGGAACCGTGGGAAATAATTCCCTTCTGGTTGTTAATATGATTTATCTAGTTCATTGACTTCTCTTATAATATGTTTTCTGGCATAGTTAACAAACAAGTCATACTTTAATATTCCCCTGTGAAAGAGCATGGTTTACCTTGGAGTATCATTTAAAAATGTCACGTGTTCGCAATTTGTTTCATCTTTTCTTTTTTCTTCTTTTTTAGAAATGATGTACATTAAACACTGGATATTAAGAGCTTTAACTACCGGTTTCTTGCATAGAATGTTATCATTCTAGAAGCCACATAAGGAGTCTAATTTAAAATCTGGGGAGTAGTTTATACACTAGGGCAATTTGGTGCTTTAAGTACAAAAATGAAATCCACTAATTTCTAACCTGGAGTTTATTTTCCTTCAGTCTGCTAGCTTGATTTCTCAGCTTTGTTCTAATAATATAAACATTTTCATGTTTATTTATAGGTGGCTTTAACCAAGAGAGCAGATCCAGCTGAGCTTAGAACAATATTTTTGAAGGTCAGTATGAAGGAATCTATTTTGTTTCTGGTTTGATTTGTGTTCTGTAATTTTTAAAGATTATTTTCAAATACCTCTTTATTTCATTGTTATATATATATTTTAAACATCTCAAAAGGTATCTTTACTTAAGACTTAGGACAGAAATTCTTAAATTGTACATGTCTGTTTTTTAAAATGTACTGGAAACTTGTAGGCAGTTGTTTGTAATGGCAAATGGTAAATGGCATGGTTCGTGTTTTAACTTCTTTTATTTCATGTGGTGTTAGGTATTGAAAAGGAGTTGCTGGGGGACTTAGTCTTGCAACTCATTTACCTTTCTCGGATTGACCTGTGCAATTTGACAGTAATGCTTTTTCTCCCAAGAAGTTTAAAGCTCCTTGAGACAGCTTTAAACCATTCACATAGAGGGCTCTATCCTTGTCTCTTCTTGGTAGGAGGAGCCCATTGTTGCCATCGAGTTGTCATCATCATCATCACTGTGGTGCCCCGTGAAGAGGCCTCTTTATAACACTAATAGATACTGGAGCACAGGAGACCCTGTATAAGTGCATTTCCTTGGTTTCTTATACTACTACCTCCTTGGGAATATTGGACAGTGAATGATTAATATAATAAAACTCTACCTCAGGTCCCAAACAGCCAACTGCTTCTCTGTTCCTCAACTGAAATGAAAGTGTTTAAAAAGAAAAGACCACTTTTATAAAGAGAAAAAAAAAAAAAACACCATATATGTGGACCAGACTGTTTGTAAACATGAGAAGGCAGCTGTGCTGTGACATAGAGAGGACCAAAGCATCTAATGAAAAACTTAATGTGTCCTAAATATGGTAGAGAAGGTTATTAATTCTATGAGTATTGCTTTCCTGACCAAAATGTGTTACTACTAAAAAAAAAAAATAGATTGCTGGTCCTGTGTCCTAGTGGTTAAGGGAGCTGGATCCCACATGTCTGACTGTGTGGTTTGAATCCCAATCCCGGTGACTTGATAAATATTTCAGACACATGTGCATGTGTGACAGAAATCCTAAAGGATGGGTGCAGAAATGGAGGAGAGGAAATTGCGGTGTGACCATGCCCTGTTGAGGGGTGCTTTCTCCCTCTCCATCTCTCAGGTGCATGCACCCTCTGGTAAATAAAATACGGAGATATCAGGGAGTGTGAACACTGATAGGATATCGATATTAAGGAATTGTTATTGATTGACTTTAGGCTGAATAATGGTATTCTGATTATGGGAAATATAAAAAGTCCATCTTTTATTTATTTACTTATTTTCAAGAGAGATTTTTGCTATAGGGTGTGTATGCTTACCGGAGAGACAGAGACAGAGAAACAGAAAGTGAGAAATCACTCCCTAGAGGGGATGGCCATGCCATAATCCTTTCTCCTCCATTCTTCTCTCAGGATCTTGCACATGCACACATGTGCCTGGTGTGAACTTTAAGCTGCCAGATTTGGGACTTGAATCGTGGTTGACTACATGGAGTCCAGAGATGTAACCATTATGCCATCTGCTGGTTCCAAGAGTTCATCTTGTATAGATAAAACACCAAAGAATTTATTGTGATGTCTAAGATTTGCTTTTAAATAACTCAGTTTTGGTGGGGTATAGGAAATAAATCGGCAGTATGATGATAATTTTCAAAACTGGAAAATGGAATATTGGGTTTGTTATACTCTTCTTTTTACTTCATACATGTTTGAACATTTTCATAAAAAAATTTCAAAATGTTTTTGTAAAGATTTTATGAGATAGCTTATGTGAAAGTGTCTAAACCTGATTTGCATTAGATACTGATTGGATAAATTAAATTAATTAAATTTGTTTAATTCAAACAGAGAAGAGAGAAAGACTCCAAAAGAAAAAATGATTGAAATCGGGTCAGTTTTCAGAGTAAGGAAAAAGGATAAATTTGTAAGATTTGGATTATACCTTTTAAAAAGCATGAATCTATACATTTGTTTTTAACCTGGAAGAGACAAGACAGTATAAATTTCCTAAGGTGTAAAAGGGTTCTGGAGGAGACATGTCCAGAAAACAGAAAAGCATGTGTTTCTTATCTCAACTAATGTCTATTGCTATGCGTTTTGGGCCCACCTAAGCTGGGATGTAAGGTAAGAGGGAGCAAGAGAAGCTTTAGAATGTGTATAAATGTCAGTTCATATTGTAAAACTGTAATAATATGATTCTGGAAGACCACATGCAGATGAGCACCTAAGTGGACTGCTAAAGAGTCTAGAAAAATGGATCAAAATACATTAACTTGATCCAGTGAACTCTTAATCATCCTCTGAACTCAGGACCTATTACTCCAGTTTTCTAAATAAGAAAGAATTGTGGGGCATCCTTGCAGTAGGGAATGGAAACAACTTAGAAGGTATCTCAGTAGATGGTGCAACTTTGATATCCACTGGTCTGATGGTGTGACCCATTGGAAGGACTCAAGATAAAGGCTGTGTCTGCTTCTCAGGGCCACCTGGCAGCTGGTGAGGCTAGGTTAAGATCTTAGTCTAGAATGGCATATCTTTGCCAGCTGCTATATGTACTCCATAGCGGGAAGGCCTGTACTGTGGTGAGTGGCAGGTAACATTTTGTCTAGATGTGGACGTTGAAGTTTTGGTAGTCAATTTTATTTCTAACCTATATACTAAGACCAGGAAAGGTAGGGATTCCATGGAGCATTCTGGAGAGTCACTTGTGGGATTTTTGTGTAAGTGGGCCTGAAGATTGAGGTGGAGTTTTTGGGACAAGATAAGAAAGTGTCCTCTTCCCTAAGGCTGGCTGGGAGTATGTGGCTTTTCAGTAAGAGTCGTGCATGACTTGGAGTCCATGGAGATGAAGTAAGGGGAGACAGATCTGAAGAACACAGCGATCATTAGTTTGTGGAAGGGATTGTGGGTCTGGCAAAGGTTCTGGTGACCTCACCAGGTCTGGGTACTATTGAGCCAACACAAATCCACCTTGGCACAGCATGCTGAGGACCTGCTGTTTACCATCTACCACAGACAGTGTTGTGGTGAGGGGAAGAATGGAAAGTGAGGCGCCGTGGGGGCTGTGCCAGGCTGGGCTTTTTAGTTAAGTATGGATCAGCAGTAAGCGTTCTATAAACCTGTCTACTTTGCTAATTTTCTCTGACATTTTTCAGCTTTGATTTTCTTCCTAATAAAAATTGCATGTCAGGTATCTAGTCTTCTCCCTGTTAAACTAGGTAGATTCTCTTGTACTGTGGGAGGTGAAAAGGAACATGGTTGTACCCTTCACACCAGATGTGCTGGTAGTAGGGGAGTTGGCAGCTCTGGAGACCAAGGAGAGCCAGTGGAACCAAGCTTCTGGAAGACTAAAATGGGCCCGCTTTGTGCTTAGTAGTTTATGTGTTGGAGGAGAGTTAGAGTCAATTCCATCATTGTGTTTTTTTTTTTTTTTTAAGCTGACTACTATATGTTAGGTACGGTGTTAGATGTTGGGCATGTGAAGATGCATATGCATCTTAAATATTACCCTTAAATATTCCACCATCTGTGGAAATAAGTTTAAAAAAACACAAGGCCATGATATGGTTGGTAAGTATTATTCACTTTAATTAGCAGGAAGGTGTTGTGGCACTAATTACGTATTCCTACAGAAAGGGAATGAGCTCCCAAGCCATACCTGAAGATGAGTATAGACACAGCACAGTACGATGATGCATAACTCATTAGGAGCTTAAAGAGTGGCTTTACAGCATTTGAAGGCTTTTTTTTGTTTGTTTGTTTTGAGAGGTTTTTGCTACAGGGTGCATGTACTCGCCAGAAAGAGAGAGACAGAGAGATAGAAAGCGAGAAATCATCCCCCCCCACACACACAGGAGGGATGGCCATGCCAAATTCCTTCTCCTCCGTTCTCCTCTCGGGATCTTGGGCGCCCACACACACGCGCCTGGCATGAGTTTAAGCCACAGGTCCGGGACTCAAACCATGGTCGACTACATAAGATTTCAGCGACATAGCCATTACGCTAACTGCTGGTGCTGCATTTGAAGGCTTTTGAGTTCCTTTACCAGGTGGAGAAGCTAGAGGAAGGTTTGTGGGCAAGGGAAGACCATTCCAGGTGAAGAAAACAGCAAAGCAAAGAACTTTAAGAGTGCCGTGTGTGTGGGAAATAGCTAATAGCTTAGAGTAGCCTGGAACATAGGGTCTGGGGTGATGGTACTAACAACTGGTGTGGTAGGATAGGACTTGGTGTGAAACATGCTTGGCAAAGGCGTTTGAGTTTTATTAGTCAGGCTGTTCTTGTGATGAGTGGCAGGTAACAATTTGTCTGGATGTGGAAGCTGAAGTTTAGACAGTCAGTCTGGTTTCTAACCTATATGTTAGCATGCGATTTTTTGTTTACCTAATGCTTTTGGTGTGGCTTCATGTTGATTTAAAGAAATGTGTGTTGAGAAATTTCTCTCTTTTCTCTTGGATTATATGTCTCTGTGTATATGAGAAACAGTACTGTTTTGTATCCAGATTTTCCCCCTCACCTGATATATTATGAATACCTTTTCTATAATTGAATACATTTCTACAACATTTTAAATGCTGCACAATATTCCAGTGAGTGGTGGTTTTCCTGTAATTTATTTAACCACTCCCTATATTGGATGCTCCATTGTCTCTTCTGTTTTGAAATCATAACAGCACTGTAATGAATACCCTTCTATTTACATTTTTGCTTATAGCTAGAATTACTTCCTCATGACAAATTTCTAGAAGTCACATTGGGTTGAAGAATGGGTTTACAACATTTAGAAGCCTTTGATTGCTCTGGGAAGGCTACCTTTTATGAAGATCAGTGTATGTTTTGGGATTATGGAAGTGTACATTTCTCACATATGTCATCAGCTAAGATTATTATTGAAAAAACAGCAGTACCAGCAAGGAACCTTACTACTAAAGGATTCATTGAAAAACTGTATCTTAATTTTAAATTTACATGTCTTTGATAAATAGCAATGTATTTATGAACATTTATG